TCACACATATATCCTAACATAAAAAAAAAAAAATCATCTAAAGATGTTCACCATTATTAGTGACCTCAAAATCATTACTTAGCAAAATAATTATACAGTGGCTATTGGTATTAAATGCAAGATTTTAAAAAATTTAAAAATAAGGCAAGTATTTGGTAACATCTCTCTCTAGATAAAGTTATTTGAAGATATTATTGATTAGATTACTTAGCAAAATAAAACAACTTTTAGAAGGCAAAAGCATTGTAAATTGAGCTTTTGAAGAAATCTGCCAAATACTACTACAGTTTTTTAACACTTTTTAAAATGTATTTATTTATTTTGAGAGAGAGACAGAGAGAAAGAGCACAAGCAAGGGAGGAACAGAGAGGGAGAGATAGAATCCCAGAGTCACACGGTTAGCACAGAGCTCCATGTGGGATTCAAACTCATGACCATGAGATCATGACCTAAGCTGGAGTCAAGAGTCAGATGTTTAACCGACTGAGCCACCCAGGGGCCCCTACGGTTTTAACATTTTGAATGTATACCATTAGTATATTTTTAGTTCTGGTTCTCATGGAAACCCACAACATTTTGACAAGAGGTGACTGGAAAATACAGGTGTGTGTAGGAGTGCCTTTTACCTCTTCCCCACCATGGGGCATATCTTTAAATGAAGCTATTATTGACACATTTTCTATAAACTGAGGATGCTTGAGATCTCTGTGTCAGGACATAAATAGCCCAAACATTCTCACAGACCCATATTTATGTACATGGCACCACCACTCCTTCAGGATGTTAAGTGGTATAAGAGACAGTATGGCATAATGAAAAATGTCCTAAATGAGAAGTGACAAGGTCTAGGATCAAATCCTCCACGTAGCCTTAGTTTTACTAATAGTGATGACCTTGATGAAGTCATTTTCCTAACTGATAAAATTAATATGGAAAGGAAGAAGAAATAAATGAACTCCCAAGGGGTGACCCATGCAGGAAGTTTACGTTGTCACACCCCACCATACACACCTGATGTCTAGCCCATGGTCTTGTGGATACAAGCATGATGTTACTCTCAACCTACTTGGATTTTAATTTACACGAGAAAGGAACATTTTGCTGTTTTAAAACAGAGGTCACAATTTAGTTAGCCAAATGTGGCCTGCAGAGGTCCTGTCTTTGACTCCCACTGGGTTTCAGCAAAATTTTGAGGCAACAATGAAAACATATCATAATCTGTGTTTGCAGTTGCTACTAAAAACCTGAAAAGTCTTACCTCATGGCTCTGCAATTCTCTCTGGAAGATATCGACTAGAGCTGAATAGTTTGACCCTTGTACAAGTTTTCCACAATCTACACCAGCCCTAAACATAACCCTGACATTGAGACTGAATGTCAGTTGCCATTCATCTCATGCATATTTTTATTTTGCATATAATAGAAAAATATTCTTTTCTAGAGCCTCCTTTGAAAGTAGGGAAATGAAAGACAGTCATAAAAGGCTGCTTGCTGCAAGGAAATGAGTATGAGTGCATTTGTTTGTGAAGGTGTTTGCTATGCCCTACCTTGTCATCTTCAGTCATTTACCTTACCAATCTGTCCCCTTCAGCCCCTGAAGACTTTGCGCCCTGCTTGAGAAGATTGTAACTGCCATTCCAGAATTAATACAGTAGTTAGATGCCAAAACCACTTAAGATTTTATTTACTAGATGGACTAATGCATGAAGTCATTTATCTTTTCTGGACTTCAGAGTCTTCTTGTGTAAAATGAAAATGCTGGGCTTAAGTGATCTCTAAAGTACCTCTCATCTTAAAATGCCATGGTTTTAAAGTTCCAGTTCTTGTAAGGAAGCCCTCATGACATTACTATCACAAATATGTATCCTATAAAAATTAGCCATCATGGCTTTTCCTCCAACCTAAGGCAAATTTCAGTGACTACATCCATTTTTCATGCTGACAGAGTATATTGTGGATATCATGGCTCCAAAATGAGAACACCGTTCAGTTTCAACGTGTGCCTTTAAAGTGCACTTATGTTGTGCATTTGTAGCTTTGAACTGATAAGGTCATGACCCTGGCAAGTCCTTATCAGCTGTGAGCTGCAATTCAAGTTCTTTGCTACTAATAATAGCTAAAGTATTAAAGGGTGCTCAATAGAGAATCAGAGCAAATTCAAGGTATTACTGAAAAAAAGCATATTGCATTCTTGTAAACTCCAATAAAATTTTTGAGTGGAAAAAATGAATACATGGAGTTACAGCACCCCCCCCCCCCCAACAAGAAAATTTCCATTGGACTGGGAGCCATGGCTTGAGAGCTTTAAAAAGATCAACACCTGGTTCACACCCGCAGAGATTCTGACTTAATTGGTCTGGTGTGTAGCCTGGAAAAAAGGAATTTTAAAGCACCTCAAATGATGCTAATGTAAAAATTCTTTTCTAATAAAATATTGGTTTGTAGACTGTGAGAAATACCCATGTTGCCCAAACAAAAGATTGAAAAGATACTATAGTGAGGTCAACATCACAGTTTTCTTGGTGTCTGCTTATCTATTCAGACTCTAACATGCTTGATTATATCATATAAAATTGTTTCCATGATGGACAATGGAAAAGTTTGGGAGGGAATCAAGATCCTTGGTGATTCTTTCCTGGTATGAGCTGGAGTTTCATGTTAGAGGAATTTCATCCTTGATTTATTACGTAGCATAATTTTTATGATGCTGTTTATTTGTTTCAAATACATGACATAGCATCATACTTTTTGGTTAGCTAAAGAAAATGATATTGAATTTAAATAATTCAAAAAGTAGACAATTCAATTGCATGCATTTTCTGTTTTGTAGAAGTAAATGTTCCATAGATCTCAAAGAGAAGTGAGAACTGTGAACTTTGCCTGTGAACTGTGTAGAAGAGACCCTTCTCTGTTCCATATGTTTAGAAATCCTATCTACATGAGGTACAAGTGGTAGTTATAAAGAAGGAAGTGACTCCAGAATTTACCTAGCTCTGCGGTTTTATTTTACAGATAAAAAAAAAAAAAATGAGGTTCTTGATAATGAGTGATTTGTCCCTATTAGGAGATGGCAAAACCAGAAAGAGAACTCCTACCCATATTCTAGCCTAGGATGTCTTCTCCTATACCATCAGAGTCCTACACGTTCTCCTCCCCTTCCTGTGAAACATCCATTCTGGCGTTTTTACTTGTCAAGAATTTTGGTGCAACATAATACATACTTATGTGTCTTAAATGATAGTTCTTGAATGCTAAGGTATCTGTATGTTATATATACGTCCTGATTTAGAAGGTGATGAGTCAGTACAGGCTTACTTGCATTTCTGTATAACCAGCTTCCAAAGTAAATATGTTGATCACATCTTTGGTTGATTATTATGGTCTTCTACTGCTGTTATACTAATACTTTTCCCATCTCCAACTGGCTTTACTTTTTGCAGCTTTGAGCAGTAATTCAGTCCCCTACGCCTCCCTGATTGGCTCTGTGTCCTCCCTCTCTAGCCAAACCACCACTCAGTCCATATATGATAATAACTCTCTCCCACGATTCGCTCGAAAAGGTCTAAACATCTTTGTCTCTTTATTTTCTCTGTTGAAGCACTGTAATGGATGTCCACATCATTCCATTTCCATTTCCAGATAAGCCTAGAGTCTCTTGTGCCTTCGCATTTCCATTCTTGTCATTGGGGGTGCCTCATCTGGATAAGATCACTTTAATTATTAGACCACTGTCACCCATCTCCTCCCTCTACAAAATGTAAATTAGTTCAATTCTACCATCTATTTGGAAAAGTTCCAGAAATGGCCTCCAACATTTTGATCCAAATACACAATTATATCAGCAACAAAGAATTTCTACTTCTAAGCCAACTCATTTTTATTGGATCTTCCACCAAGATTTTAGTTGACTGGAAGCCATAAATGCTAAAACACCACCTATCATAGCACTGTGCAAAAATGATGAAATTGTCTAGAAGAAGCAAAATAGTTTTTTACTTACCAGAAGTATTGATAATTTGGCATTTGAGATACAGGAACTTACTGGGTGGCTTTCAGTAATGGCACAATTCCTAAAATGCCCATAAAGTAATCACATGTCATGTTGACTTAATGGTCACCATTCCATAGCCTAACACCTTCCAGAGAGTCTCAGGACAGCAGAATGTCAACATGGCCTCCAGTTTGAGCTCCTCCCCCATTCCTTTTCAGTTTCAGAGGCTTCCCTGGGGGCATGCTAGTTCAAGTTTTTCTAGCCAGCTGGAATTTGTATCCATAAGACATGAGTCAGCGATGCTCTCTCATGGTACTTATAAAAAATTCATCACAAAGAAATAAAATGTAAATCACATGAAAAGCAAGAAAACATTGGAAAGACCCAGGAATCACCAAATTAGTGATAGATTATTTTTAACGGAATCTGTGAAACTAATCTCACTTCAGCTGGCAGACGGAACTAAGACGTGCCACCCCTGTCACTGCTTTCTTTCTTTTTCCATCCTCTTTCACTCCTTGTCCTTTGACCATTTGCTCACTCTCTTGCATTCATTTCCCATTCATGGACAAAGATGTTTACACCTGAAGTAGATTGTAGGTTTGCTGGGAGCTGAAACTTGGGGACCTGGGGCAAATACCATAAAGCTGTTAGTGTGTGGCCATTTATAAATGTCCAGGTGAAGGCCACGGCCCCAACCTCTACAATCTGCTACTAGTGGAAACATTTTTGAAACTCAGTTTGGTGTCTGATTTTGTCATCAGTGATTATCGTCTATGAACTGTGGTGCATGCCATTCTTTGTGCCCATGTTTGCATGTGAATGTCAATCACCTTCAGGTATGTGAACTATTAAAGCGATCTTAATCAAGTCACAATGTATAGTGAATCCTGTAAAAACATGTAGTGTTTTTATCAGTCCTTTACAAAAGTATATCAGACTATCCATTTCATTTTTTTTAACAAATCCGTTCTATTTTATTTTATTTACATCATCATTTCCTTTGCAGGTTCAGATGATTCCGGTTACCCTGGTAACCTTCATTCTTCAAGTTAGTTTTCCTTGATTATGCATAAGTCACTTTATGTTTCCTATCAAGCTACTACTCTTTCCCTTTTAGGCCTTTCTCAGTGTCTGTTTTCTTAGTTCACTTTACACCATTTAATTCCACACGATTTCCATTTCATACAGTGCAGGAGAAGGAGTTTGAAATGACATAACAGTCATTACTCAAAGCAGAAGTTGACATCAAGCCTGACTGTCAGTTTTCTCCGCTAGCTAACTGCATTAATTCATAGCACAATAACGCTTTCTTTTACACTAGGAGTGTTAGTTTGGGGATCATGCTTGGTGACTTTTCATTTGGCTACAAAATTCATCCTTCCAGAGCATGTCCTGCTTTGAGTAACCAAACTATCTGCCTGCTTCCTCACATTAAACATCTTTACTACTCACATGTCTTCAGGCCATTTCTAACTATAGTATTCTCTATATTTTGGAATAGTTAGCATCGTTTTCATTTGTTTTCAAATGTGTTTCTTCTTTCCTTTTAATAGGTATGGCTAGCCATCCTCCAATTCCTATCTTGGAACTTGCAGATCACATTGAAAGGTTGAAAGCAAATGACAACTTGAAGTTTTCCCAGGAATATGAGGTATTTCAGTGTGTTTATACTTGACAGTAATTTCAAGAATTGCCCCCCTCTTCTTTTTGACCATATTCTTAAAAAAATAACTTCATCAGTGCTTTTTCTTTTAAATACGACCCCAAATAGGATATAAAAGTTGATAACAAATAGGTGACTGAAAAGTGTCTGTACAATCAATATAGTAGTTGCCCTTTTAAAAGGTGTTTATATTCGGTGTTAATGAGGTTGATTTTTCTTTTCTGGTTTTAAGTTCATATACTATATTGTATTGATAAGCTTCCTCGTATATCAGATAGGTGCCAAATATATTGATTCATGGCCAGAGGCCTCCCTGAAAAAGCATGATGACAGGGAGTAAGTTGATATTTTTCCATACACTTAGTTTTCCATGGCCTGAAAACCCTTTAATTATGTCCATGTTCATTTCCATGTCCATGTGTGTATACATGATTTTACCCTTCAGCCTTAAAATAATGCTAGAGTTAATATTAAGATAGCCATATGTTCCTGGAATATTGCCTATTTTTGAAACAATGGTGAACTGAATAGTATCTTAAAATTTCAGAATCCTTATAGATTCTGTGTGAATGCTTGATGAAAGTGAATGAAGAGTCTTTGTATATTTGTGTGTATTTGGATATTGTGGTATTTATCAAGCAGAAAGTTTTAAAATTGAATTTTCTGATATTCCCCAGCAACAGGGACTCATACTGAAACCAACTCATGAATTGATAACTGAACCATCATTATTCTTTTAAGCCAAGTTTGACTTAGCATAAGATTAAAAAGTACAACTCAAGCCTTATTGTGCCAAATAACAACAGATTGTTGGGTGCCTGAGCAGTCCAAATACCACCATGAAGAGTTTCTACTGATTTACCCAATGGGAATCTTAAAACACATCCCTGTTATCTCTCTTGGTTTCTGTTGTATCAACTCCTTTCTTTCTCAATATTTTATTTAAATTCCATTTAGCTAACATACAGTTTACTGTTAGGTTTAGGTGTAGAATTTAGTGATTCATCACTTACCTACAATACCCGGAGCTCATCACAAGTGCTTATTGTATCAACTTTAAATGCAGCTGTTGGACTAGACGAGCTCTCAGTCCCTACCAGTCCTAAGATTCTATCCTTTCAGTGAGAACTTCTAAAAGGGGCCCCAAGCTCTAGTGACTACATGGATATTAACTACATGAAGAAGCTCCATGTAAGAGAATGTGGAGCAGTGGGATCTGTGGTAATCTGGATATTTGCATGGACTTTCTGAAGTCTTCAAATCTTTAGTTTTTGATTATTTTAAATTACTATGCTGACTCAATAAAATGTGCCCCATGGTCCTCCAGCTTTAAACCACTAACAATATTTGCATCACTCAAACAATCTCAGTTGTATCCATGGTCTACAGTAACCAGCCTCCTTTAAAGTGGAATTTCTCTAGAAATACTACATGTAAAGATACTATAATAATACTCATTGAGCCATTAGATCAGAAGTGCTCCTTGAAAGTAGTTATGAACTGCATGCTGCCAATGTTCCCATTAAAAACTCCCCTAGTAGCCGTTGACATGATAGCCCACACTGACTTTTCACCATTTATCATGACGATGGTCTATGATTAAAGCTCCCTGGGCATGAATTGACTCTACTGTGCCTTAACAGCCATGAAGGAGATAGTTAAGTGTTGTATTCATCTGTGATAATAGGATAAAGACCTCTATGTAATATTTTAGGCCACAGAGCAACATTATGAAAAAAAAAATTATTTTACTTGTTATCTTTCATACAAACTTGAATAGATTTTTTTTACTAGCTTATAGTAAAGAACATGAAAGAAAAACAAGGCACATTACCTTCAAACATCTAATTATTTTGGCACAATCACTATGAATTAATGATTACTCAGACTTCTCAAGAGGCATGAAACAAAATTTGCTACTCTGACTCTAACACTGAAACAGAGGTTGAAGACATGGAAGCTGTTTGTACTTATTCTGAGGTCAGAATAGGAGGAAGTAGGTTTAGATTATGGCCCAGTGTTTTTATATCATGTGAGAGACTTCCTTTATTATAAAGAAAATTGGGCTCAGACATTGGATTTAATGATAGCTGGAGGAAGGGACCTGAGAAATTAGTAGCAAGAGCACTGTATATTAAAAATAATTATAAATACTTACAGTTTTCAGTTTCTGATATGAGACTGTAAAGTTTTACTTGAACTTAAGTAGCCATGATTTGAGGATGGCATATAGAATGCAGGGAATAAAGTTCTCCTGAAAGTTGGTATCACTCTCAAAGCCATCACATTAGCTGGTGAATCTTTAGACTGATACAGAATAGTATGTATAGATCTTACCAGACAAAGTCTTAGCTAATGACTGTGAAAATTTTGGAAGTCTAATTAAAATTCATATTCTTGGTCTCAGCACCAGAAATGCTGGTTTAGTAGGTCAGCCATGATAACCAAGAATGTCTGTTTTATTTTTTTTTTAAGTTTCATTGAGTTGTGATTGACATATAACATTGTACTAATTTGTAGTATACAACATAATGATTTGATATATGTATATATTACAATATGATTACCATAATTAGTTGAGTTAACATCTATCACCTTACATTTTTCTTATAGGAACTTTTAAGATCTACCTTTTAGCAACTTTCAAATATAAAATATTGTTAACTATAGTCATCATGTTGTATATTACACCTCTGGGACCTATTTATAACTAGAAATTTGTAGCTTTTAACCACCTTTAACATTTTCCCTTATCTCCCACCTGTCCTCTATTTCTATAAATTTGTTTTTTTAAGATTCCACATATAAGTGAGATCATACAGTGCTTATCCTTGTCTGTCTGGCTTATTTCATTTAGTATATTGCCCTCAAGTTCCATCCATGTTGTCACAAATGGCAGAATTTCCTTCTTTCTTTATGACTGAATAATAACCCAGTGCATATACATGCAATGACCTGAGCTGAAGTTGCACGCTTTACCAACTGAGCCACCCAGGCGCCCCTGTTTGTTTTTTGATACTTAGTTGTATGAGTTCTTTGTACACTTTGGATAGTGACTCCTTATTAGATATATAATTTGCAAATATTTTCTCCCAGGGAATGTCCATTTTAAAAGAGCACTTCAGGGGACTTTGATGCAGGTGCTCTGAAGACTTCAATTTAAGAAACATTATTGGTTTAGGATAATATATGACAGAGCATCATCCTCCAGCCTTCATTTCACCATCCCCTGAAATGGCAAATAAACCAATGTATAAGATTCATTTGACAGGCATCACAGTCGACATTACCATTATCAATATCATAGACATAAATCCTATTTGTAGTAGACTCATTGTAAGTCACTACAGCTCCTACAGTCTGCTTAAGGGGGGAAAAGAGGACTTAGCTTTATTTATTATAAATTATCTACTTATTATGAATTTATTTTTTAGAAATTGTCTATTATAGAGCCAAATGCTAAAAATGTAGCTATGCTTCAAACACTGTTGTCTCTAGCTGAGGTATTTTGGAGATCACCCGACATCCTCTTTGAAATTTTTATTTTTGTACTTTTATCTGGACTGACTGCATTCTTCCCATTGCATGTGCCAACTTCTTTTGTTTCTCCCACCCAAGTATAGAAAATGTGGCCTTTGATCATATTTTCATTAACAGAGAGTCCCCCCTAAAGAGGCAACAATTTTCTTTCCAGTAAAATTCCAAATGTAAGAGAACAAACTCTGAACTCCAATTGACTCATTTTGTTGTGGAGACAAACATGAGGACATAGCTGCTAGCAGTGCACCTATTTAGATCTTGCTTCTTCCTTCAGTTCAAAAAAAGGAAGTTACTATGGAAAGGGGCTTGTGAGCTTGGAGGAGGAACCAGTAATTATCCACCATACTACCACAGGAAAGCACTATGCTAAGTTCTGAGAGGAATGTAGAATTTATAAGAAACCTTTACTTCCAGGAAGTCTAGCAGGCAAAATTAATGTATACATGCAAAAATAATAAAAAGAATACCAAGTTGCTAATTCGAAACACTAATGGAATGCTTTTGGGATTTAGTAAAGATCAGAGTGAGATGAGAAACTGGGCAAGGTATTGAAGAAAAGGTGGTACCAGTAGTGGAGCTAAGAAGAAAAGGAGTGAAGAAGAGTATTTTGTGGTAGGAAGGATCAAAGGTACTTTCAAGGATGCTCTGGACTTTTACATTCAAAGTGTGGAATACAGAATAGCAACATTAGCATCCCTGGGAGCTTATTAGAAATGCAGATTTTTAGGCAGTATCCGAAACATACTGAATCAGAATCTGCATTTTAACAAGGCATCCTGGTGATAAGTTTGTATAAGTATATTTGGAGGTGGGGGAAGCACTAAGTACACGTGTTATGATGGATCAAATTGTTTCTGGTGGGGAGTTGGGTGAAATGAAGTCAGGCAATGAACAGGGCCAAGAATTGTAATGAGCATTCATTGCCAGACATCATTGGCAAGGCTGGGGTGGATTGATGGTGGAAAGAATATGGACTTTGGACTCAGACAAATTTATATTCTGATTTGAACACTTGGTATGGCTGTAACCTTGCATAATAATATAACCCTATGAGTTTCTCATGTGTAAAATATGTTACTATGAGAATTAGAGAATATGTATGCATATTTGTATGAATTTCAAGACACACTTGTAGGGTGTGTGTGTGTGTGTGTGTGTGTGTGTGTGTGTAAAATAAGGGGCTCAATAATGGTAGCTGAAAGGTTGCACTAATTTTACGTAGCCAGTGAAAGATTTTATAGTGAAGTAATTGTATTTACTTATAAATTAATAGTGTTAAGCTCCTATCATACCTACCATCAAGTACTGTACTTTCTCATTGAACAGGCCTGTCAGTGCAAAATTATAATAAAATATAATCAGTCCTATGCCCAAAGTTCTTCAAAGTATGATGAAAATACAGAGCACACTTACGTGGTGGTTTCTTAGGAAATTAATCTGTCATCCAT